TTCACCTTCATTATACTTCAGTTTCCTTATGCACAGAACAAGAATACCAATAATAAACCCGTAAGTGCTTAGCATATTGCTAGACATATTCTAGATGCCATATAAGTGTCAACTATTTTTTTTATTATCTCAGAAGGGATAAAGGCCTTAGTACTAATATAAGCATCACGACATGTGGTTTGAAGACACACAGAAGGTTTGGGCCTGAGTTCTGTGCCCAGTTAGAAGGAAAGAGGACCACAGCTTTGCTCATACTCTGACCGCTTCCCGTTGCCTTTGGCCTCATGGCCAGGCGTGGCTCCTCCAAAGCACACGGCAAGGAGGGAGTCTGTGTGTGGAAAAGGTGATGGTGCCGAGATAGACCAGCTAGACAGCAAGCATGAGCCAGCCTCCCGCTGTGTCTGTAAAGAAAACCATCACTGCAGTTTTACAGCAAATGCTGTATTTGCCGTACAGAAGGGACAGCTTGCATGCATTTTCATAATAAAGACAGAGGTGTATTATTTGTTTTGTGACCACTTTACATGCCTGTGTCAGAGAAATGCCATCTTTTCCTTAGCAGAAGAGCCTAATGGAGAAAACAAGGGAAATGGCATGGCCCTTTCTGCATGGGGATCAGGAATAACCTCAGAAACGGAAAGGAAAGCACCAAAGGAGCAGGCTGAAGACTCCAGACAGAGCAGACAGCTGTGGAACAGTGAAATAGGTAAAGGGAAAGAAGAGAGCCCTGGGCAGCCTGGGGAAGCAGGATAGTCCCTCTACAATGGCTCCTGCACAGACAGCTGCTCCATTTTCACAGACAGAGCATGCTGGCGGCTGGGTAGCTCCTCTTTACCAGGTTATGCACCACTGGAAAGACAATATCATCACACTTCATTATGTCAAATTTAAAAGATTGTTGTAAAACATTTAGTTATTCGTTTGAAAGGCAGAGCGACAGAGGAAGAAAGAACAAAGAGAGGGGGAGAGAGAATCTTCCAACTTCTGGTCCTTCTCCAAATGGTTGGAATGGCTGGGTCTGGGTTAGGCCACAGGTAGGAGCCAGAAATTCCATCTGGGTCTCCCATGTGGATGTAAGCAGCCAAAGCACTTGGGCCATCATTCTGCATTAGCAAATGGCCGGATTAGAAGTAGAGCAGGTAGGACTCAAACTGGTGTTCCAATGGGAGATGCCAGCATCATAGTTCATAGTAGCCTAATCTGCTGGGCCACACTGCTGACCCCAAAGAGGTATTTTTTGGTCACGAGGCCACCAGTGTGCTCCGTTGGCTGCAGGAATAGAAGTTTTAATGTCATGTATTCGAAGGCAGCACCTCCTTCCAGGCCTTGGCAGCAGCAGCAGAAAGCAAAGCCCACTCTGCACTCCTGAGGGAGCAGTGAGGATCACTTCCTGTTTGAGCAGGAAGCTAGATTTGCCAAAACAAAATCTCATTAGGGCAAAAACATTCTATACTCTTACCCATTCTCTGCCAGGTTGCTTGCTTTACTGTTGCATCCAGGAGACAGAATTCCTTTTTAGAACAAAGTGAAAGGCTAGTTCTAAGAAGTCCAAAGGTAGATATGTGTCTACATAAAAGCTTCAGGCAGGAAGACAGATTAAGCAACAATGTGTTAATATCCAATTCCATCTGACCAATGAGCTTGACATTCACACAATTTTAAAAATCAGAAATCTAGACTTGTCTGATATCTGTAGTACAATAACAGTTGCACCCAATTCTAAGAATAACTGTCCTACTGATAACAGATACAGAAATACTAAGATGCCATGCAGAACTGGCAGGATTTCGTCAAGCTTATTTTATAGTAGCTCAGAGAACATTTGGGGAACTATTCTTTAGTGAGTGTTTTGTCTAGGACATTTCCTTTTAACGTGCCCAAGGTCTTATTTCTTGAGTTGACATGAATATTGTTGGCCATCTTTGTGCTTTAAAAGCAGTATTGAAAGTGTCGGCATAAAAGACAGATGTAGGGAGTCCAGGTAAGTCTGCTCAGAGGTGCAGGTGTTTGAATCTCCCAGCCACAGCCACATGGCTGGGAGAATGCGTGCCGGGACAGGCTTCCTGTTGGGGATTGAAGTCCAAGAATTTCCTCCATCCACAGTGATCATGCTGCAGGTGGATCTCGGACAACTCTGGGCATGCTCAGGACCATGGCTGCACCTCCTGCTGCCATGATGGTGTGCAGAGTCCACATAAGTCCGCTCAGAGGCACAGGTGTCTGAATCTCACAGACACATGGCTGTGGCTGGGAAAATCCGTGCCAGGACAGGCTTTTTGCGGGAGGTCTTAACTCCCATCCACTGCTACCAAGCCGTGGGCGAATCCTGGGCTTGTGGGCAGCCAGAGCAACAGTGGAACTGTGCTACACCCGCTGGCTACCTGGCGATGAGCTTTGGGGTCTTAGGGGTGTGGAATTACTACCTAGGGGCATCCATGCTAAAGGCCACTATACATGTAGGTGAGGAATGAATCCTGAGGGACTCCCAATGACAGGGCAGTGGTACTTGCCAGGGCACTGGGAGAGACTGGAAGATCTGTATAGTCAGACTCATGCACCAGCCCACATGGGAATCCGGACTTGTTAGAATGTAACATTGCTGATGACCACATGCCTGTCCACTCGAAAGCTAGGGCTGGGGGCCTGTCTAGCAGGGCTAGATCCCAGTATCTGACTGAATGTCAGTACCTTCCCCATATACAGAAAGGAGAAAAAAAGAGAATGTGGTAATAATGGTTTCACACACCTTCCTGTAGCCCTTGACCCTTACATCCTAATTAACCATGTAAAAATCATCTAAATAAATAAATAAATATTTTAATAAGACAAATGTAGATGAATAAAAAGGGAAAAGATTTCTATGCTTCATTTTGTTGACCGTGGAAGTGAGCAGTACAGTTAATTTTGCAGAAAATTTAAAGCTGATTTTATTTTTCTATCTCTTCAGATCTTGTTTCTATAAGTATAAAATGGGAATATAATAATACCACTTCACAGGACTGTAGCTAAACATCCATGCAGTAATGTTAGGAAAGCTCTCAGCATAGAGCCCAGCATAAAACTCAATGGAGTCAGTTTCCACTACCATATTTCTGTGTGCCCCAACCACAACGAAAATAATCAGGTGTTTGCCCATAAAGCAGCTTACTTTATCAGGCGCCCAGATCTTCTTCCAGCATGCTGCCAACTGGAAGAAGACTGCCTCCCTCTCCTTGTCCGTCCTTGCCTTGCTGGATCCAGGATAGAGTTGTAAGCCAATCAGCCCACTTAGTTTTTCTTTGGTCAGTTATTGGTCCATGTGACTGAAACAACCCCATCAGAGTGAATCTGGGGAGTCTTGTTCAGATTGGTCCAAAGAGGATACTGCTGAACACATACAAGGAAGCATACAACCTCCGATGCCAGCGACGGCTGCACCAAGGCACCGGGGAGGCGAGGCTTCAGATAGTAGAACAGAGTCAAAGATGCAACTAGTCCTCAGTGACCTGCTGGACAACCAGCCCTGAAGAGGAGCGCCATGTTCAGTGACAAGAGCTGACAAATCTGTTTGAAAATTTAAAGACCTTCAACTGAGTTACTGACCATTCAGTCCATGAAAACATACACACTGATACACACACACACACATACTGATACACACACACACACATACTGATACACACACACATACTGATACACACACACACACACACACACTGATACATCATTTGTGGTATTTCTCAGGAAGAAGAGCTCAAACCTGAAGAGAATCACAAAACAGAAAGTTAGTGATTCTTAAAAATACCACCTTTAGACAGTTTTTTAAGATTTTTAAAAATTTTTATTTGAAAGGCATATTTTACAGAGTGAGAAGGAGAGGCAAAGAAATAGATCTTCCATCTGCTGGTGAACTCCCGAAATGGCCACAATGACCAGAGCAGGGGCAGTTTCAAGTCAGCAGCTAAGGTCCTCTTCTGGGTCTCCCACGCAGGTGCAAAGTCCCAGGGCCCTGTGCCATCCTCCACTGCCTTGCCAGGCCACAAGCAGGGAGCTGGATGGAATGTGAAACAACCTGTACATGATCCGGTGTCCTTTTGGGATGCTGACACCACAAGCAGAGACTTACTCTATTAAGCTATGACACAAGACCCTACAGAATTTTAAATGAGGTAAATGAAGGGAATGCATAATATTTATCATAGCTTTCTATATGTGGTTGACTAGATTTTGAGGTCTTCTGTTATAATTATTTTCAGTGTATAAGAAGGGTTTAATTCAACATGATTTTGCCAGTTTAAATTTTTTTTCAATTTTTATTTTAGATGATGTTTGCATGACTGTTCAGGGTGTCAGCGTGGGAAAAATCAAGGGTCAGGGAAAGGTTGGTGTGATAATGGTTCCCAAGTTTTCCATTTCTTTTTCCTGTGCCTGGACAGAGAGGAGATACCAAGGGAGAAGCCACACCCAGCATCCCAACCAGCCCATCACCCAGGGATGGGGAATGGCCACCCAATATGGACCCAGGGTCCTGATGTGGTGCACACTCTGAGGGTTCTGCCCAGGTGGTTGTGATAGTTCTCAAATGCTGTTGATTTCGCCGATTCAAAGAGGAGGGAATGCTTTCAACGTCCATCGGCTGACACAGTCCACCTTAGAGTATCCATTCACCTAGATGCTGCTGTCATATTTTACATAATTACTTCTTGGAGAATGTCAAAAGGCAGTAGTGGGTCTGGGTGGCAAGGTGGAAATGCTGGACTTGGTGATAAGAGAATTACAGGGAAACGAGGCTAACGCACTGGAAACTACGTCACTGCCTTGAGCAAGCCACTTGACTATTCTCATCCACATGTGAGATGAACAGGTCACTCTCGTTGGGACTGAAGCATAGATGCCTGGTGGAGGAAGAAATCATATCAACAGCGAGAAACACCAAGAACCTCTTTCCGAGACCTGGCAAAGACTAAGCTGAGGACACAGATGAGCCTGTGTCTGACTGTACCAGGGAAGCCACAACAAGGCCAAGGAGCTATTCTTTTATTCAGACTTTTATTCAGTTTGGAATGAGGTGAGGGAGGGCAGAAACACAGGAGTGGGAGATAGGGACATAGATTGAGCATCCTCAAACTGAAAATTCAAAGCCCACTGTCCTTAAGTTGCTTATATAAATTCCAGAGCCAGAGACTCCTATGACCAGTCAATGTCCAAGTTCAGAATCATAATACAGAGTGTCGAGCAATGCAGACTTGCACCTGTTGACAAGGTCAAGGAGCTCACTATTTGGGGTCCAGCGCAATCCACCACGCAGGCTCTAGTGCAGGCTGCTCCCCCTCACCCACGGCAGCCCTCCAACCTCTGAGCTTTAACTCTCTTGCAGACTCCACACGGAGCTCCACAGGCAGACAGTGGGCATGGCAGCCCTCGACTGAAATAGCGCCCAGGTGGGTTTCCCCGCCATTCAGAAATGTGCATCCTCAAGCTAGGTGTACTCGCTTGTGCCAAGGTGGGCCCGCAGAAATGCCAGAGTTGACACTGATCCCTGAAAACACATTCTCTCCATAGAGGACCATGCTAACCTGGGGATGGAGAGTAGACGTAAAGAACAAGGGTGGACTTGGGTGTGCTTGCTGCTCAACAAGATGGGGAAACGATATCTGAGCCGCCTCTGGATGCCATGTTGTCAAGACTCATTTTGGCCATGGTTTTGCAAATCATGCACGTGCGGGTGTGTGACTGGAAGTTTTTCATACACAATGAGCCTTAACCTAGGAGGGTTCTTAGCATTTGTAAAAAATAATATATCAGGTAAGTGTTGAAAGCTGCTGCTGCGGCAGAAGCTGCACTTTGCAACCAGAAATGTGGACCAGTACAGTGGCTCAAAACCCTGGCTGCACACTAGAACCATTTGCAATGAATTTTTAAAATACTAACACCAGGGTCTCACCTGCCGAGATCCCAGTAGACTAGAAATTCAGTGGAGTCTGGATGTGCAGTTTGCAAAATCCTGCGGCTGTCAGAACATGCAGTCGAGGGCTAAAACCACAGAAGCCGGGTCTTCTGGAAAAGCATGAAAGGAGACTGGACAGAAGGGCTAAGTCGGCCCCACCCGGTGTTCTGGCTAGGATGTTACTAGAGTGTTTCCTGGACACAGAGGTGACGCTGCAGATCTTTTCTTTCTACAATGCTGCCCTCTAGTGCCCTCACCTACCAGCATCATGTCGAAAACCCACTTCATTCATCACGACGTTCTCTTGTTGGCTGAACAAATTGGGGAAATTTCTCTCTGATATTAATAACAAAATGAACTAATTCAACATACATTATTAATTTTGATTTGTCACAACATAAATCTCCAGCCCCAGCCTCTCCATTCTCCCACGTCTCCCACAATTCCATGCTGCTCCCTCCTCCAAGAACACCTCTTGCATCTCACTCAGCCTTTCCCTTCCCTCCCAACCTCTATTCCATAAAACTCCGTCTTTTCTAGATCATTCTCAATGGTATAAGGCTTGCCTTTCCACCTCTCCTCTTCAAAATAAAAGTTCCTTTCACATGGATACCTTTCTGTCAGGCCCTATTTCTCTTCTCCATTCACTCACAAAATTGTTCAAAGGGCTGTCTTCCCGGGTGCTGGTGAATCGGCTGGGGGAATGAAGCTTGCTTTCATTGCCCAGCCTGGCCTTGGCACAGGCTCTTACGGCCACTTAGAGCCATAGTCCCCTGCTTCCTTGTACACCCTTCTGACTGCAATATTTCCTGTGGTCCACAGTACTCACACCTCTGCTCTGGAACGTCCCTCCACCTGCCTTGGGTGCCCTACTGTCCTTCTGGATGCTGATGACACAGCACCCTGTCCAGGGTCTTTCTGTCTTCTGCTGTGGCAATTACCACTTCATGGAGGCAGACTTTCCCTGGGCAGTTTTCATCAACTTCCAAGAATTTGATTGCAATCAGTGAACACATCAACTGAAAAATCCACCACTCCAGGCCCAGCTCACTCAGCGTCTGCCTGACCTTTCCCTTTGGTCCCCCACAGGACACTGAACTCTGAACAGACAAGTCATCTGGCTTGCCCTCTGCCAACCTCATCTCATTTCCTGCTTCCTTCCTTACCAGGTCGCTGCCCATGGCTTACTTGGTTACTGAACTTGCTCAGCTGTGAGGCGTCTCAGGCCCTAATGCATGCCATTCCATCTGTCCTTGAAGCGTTCCTCCTGTCCGTCACATGGCTGGCTCCTTTGCATTTTCCTTGCTTAAACCTGCTGCTACATGACACCTTCCTTGCTCTGACAGGTCCTCCCTTTCATTTCCCATCCAGTGCTCACCTTAACCCTTCACATTTTGTGGTGACTTACTTGGTTACTTCTCCATCTTGGCCACTCAGCTCTAAGCTCCAGGAACTTGGATGTCTGTGACACAGATGAGCCCAGCAGCTGACAGTGACTAGGAAAATGTTAGTTTTTAACACATGTGCTGACTCAGTGAACAGATGCAGGAAGACTGGCCGTGTGGAGGGCACGTGGCCACACCTGCTCTGCTTGCAGAGGCGAGGCTCAGGCTGTTTTCTGGGAAGCCCTTCAGCTTCAGCACTAAGCCGGATCCACCGTCGCAGCTGCGGCACGCCTCTCGTGAACACTGCTGGCTGGCTGGCACTGTGGAAGCAGAGGTTCAGATAAATGGTTTTCAGTTTCCACAAATGAAACGTCTACCTCGGCACTCATCTCCATTTGCACAATAAAAGAGAAGGAAATCTTCTCATTTCTTTATCAGATTTGGGGTTTTTCTTTTTCTATGATTTATTTATTTGAAAGCCATCACTTCTCAGATGGCTATAACACCTTGGACCAAGCCAGGCTGAAGCCATGCACATGGAACTCTGCTGGGGTCTCCTTAACAGGTGGCAGCAGTGCAGGCACTCGGGCCATGCCCTGCTGATCTCTAAGGCGCATTAACAGGGTGCTGGATATGAAACGGAACAGCTGGGATTAAATCAGTGCCCATATGGAAACGACAGCCTTGCAGGTCACAGCTCACTCTATGCCACCATTCAGGCCCCCGGATGTGTTTTAGAAATGGAGAATGAATTGTCATAGTTCTAGTTATAATCTGATACTTGGGACTCTCTCACCAACAAAGAAAAATATTTTGTTTATAAATCAGATTCTGTCTGTGTTGGACAATGTGAATGGAAGCATGCCTGTGATCCACACAAAGAATTAGCAACTTAAATTAGCTGACACAAGCCATACAAGCAAAGCGTGTACCCCGTCAATTAGGGCTCGCTCATCAAAATGAAAGAACGCACTTAGCCCAGCTACCCCTTGAGACAAGGGCAAGAACTTTCTCTGCAAAACACTCAGCCTACTCAACAACCACAGGCCTGCGACCGGTGGGAAGTGGCAGCCAAGCTGGCGTCCTGGGTGTCTGATTAACCTGCTCTTTTAAAAATCCAAATTTGTCTGAGAATGTTCACTCGGTCAAACTGAAGCGCCTCATGCTCTTTAGTTCTGCTTCCTTCCCATCCGACTCTGCCAAAAAGAGTAGCAGAACTCCACCCTTCTGGGGAAGGGATTTGTTTTCCCATTTAGGAAGTGTGATGTCAGGCTGAAAGAGGCTGATGAGCAAACTGGGTGGAACCATCAGCAGGCCCTGGTGAAATCAATGACACGGGTGTCTTAGAACAAAATTCATTTTCAAGTGGTCAAGGACAGGGTGTGTCATTGTGGGCTGTGAGCCACTGTGGCTTCAGCTGTTTGTTCAGCATTTAATATGTTTATCTTTGCACTAAACAGATTGTTGTTGATTCATCACTATGAAACAGCCCGCTTGGTGTGAGGGCCAGCTCTGCAGCTCCAACATGCAAAGAAAGACAGGCCTGCAACCCCAATGACCTTCCCCTCCGCCAAGTCAAAACAGACGCCTTCTCTCACTTCTCACTCCTGTGGCCAAGACATTCAGGTTCTGACGGAGGCTAATCATGTATTCTTTTATCAGGCCAGGAACTACCCAGCAACAAAAATAAAGGAAGAGCTTAAATGGTCATTGTTTTCTCGTACCATTTTCTGTTGTTGCCACAAACTAAAAACAGAATGCCAGTTTGCCCAAAAGTACTGCCAGCCTTCAAGCCAGTTAGATAATGCCAAAGTCAGTGCATGAATCAAACAGCTAGTTGCACTAAACGTCTAACTTTTGATGAGAAGGGAAGTAAAACATTAATCTTGAGAAGTAGAGAAACCCATGACATGTGCTCTATATGGTCTTCCACAGAGATTGTTCGAGCCATGACACATGTGATCAACCAAGGCATGGCAATGTATTGGGGCACCTCACGGTGGAGTGCTATGGAGATCATGGTAAGCTCCTTTCTGTATTTTTACTTCTGCTATATTTCTGTTTTTTAAAGATTTTATTTATTTTTATCGGAAAGTCAAATATACAGAGAAGAAGAGAGATAGCGGAAGATCTCCCATCCACTAATTCCTACTCCCCAAGCAACCGCAACGGCTGGAGCTAAGCTGATCCACAGGCAGGAACCCAGAGCCTCTTCCGGTCTCCCACACGGGTGCAGGGTCCCAAGGCTTTGCGCCATCCTCCATTGCTTTCCCAGGCCACAAGCAGGGAGCTGGATGGGAAGTGGGCCGCTGGGATTAGAACTGGCGCCCATTTGGGATGGGATCCTGGCCCAGTGCAAGGCAAGGCCTTTAGTCACTAAGCTACCGTGTCAGGCCCTGTTATTATATTAATTTTTATTTCTTCCAATGATAGAGAGCAACCAGTCTGCCAACTGCTTGTTCATTGCCCAAAAGCCCACAATAGCCAGGGCTGGGCCAGGCCAAAGGCAGCAACCATGAACTCCATCTGGATTTCCCATGTGGCTGCAAGGACCTAACCATTTGAACCATAATCATGGATGCAAGCATTGCAAGTGGTTTCCCAACAGTCCTAACTAGGCCAAACTCCACACTGGTCATTTCTATTTTTAAAAAAGATTTATGTATTTATTTGAAAGTCAGAGGGAGAGGCAGAGACAGCTTCCATTTATTACTTCACTCCTTAGATGGACACCATGGTCAAGGCTGGGCCAAGCTGAAGTCACGAGCTGGGAGCTTCACCTGGGTTCCACATGAGTGGCAGGGGCCCAAACACTTGGGCCACTGCCCACATTTGTCCAGGCCCATTAGCAGAGAACTGGGTCAGAGGTGGAGTGGCCAGGACACAAACCATCAACCATATGGGATGGCAGCATCCCAGGCAGTGGCTTCACCTGTTATGCCACAGCACCAGCCTTGTCATTTCTATTTTTAATTGTGATTGAATATCTTATGATTGTTTTCAGATACATGTATAAATAGCAAGGTATTTTGCAAACTTGTCCCACAATCACTCTGGAAGTGGAATTCTGAGGTCAATTCCATCTTTGCAGAGTCAAATGTTGGGGATGAGTCGAGACAACAGGGAGGGCTTAGATCTCCGGCAGGCACCATGTTTTAGATCTTCTCTGGGAGCAAGAGAGTACAGCGAGTATTACAGTTAATGAGACACATGAACAGTATTCCAGTCTTATTAAAATGATCACTGAACAATACTGTTTATAACACTAATTACAGATCACGTGTATATGTGAGTCATATTTTTATATCTTTAGGATTCTAAAAACAGTCAAACCACATTTTCTTTATAATCATCTATTTAATTCTGCTTGGACAAATTTGCCCCAGACTTTACTCAGTATTGAAACCTTCTCAAAAAATAGTGAGGTATTGCTGTCAGTGGCACTGATGGGCACAACTTTGCTGGTTATTTGACATTTTACATGCTTTCCTGGCTTATATTGATTCCCCTAAAATGAACACTTTACATGCATACAAATCACAGGGAAGCCTATTTTGCAACACTATAAATTCACCTGCAATCTTGTTTCTCCCTAGGAAGCCTATTCCGTAGCAAGACAGTTCAATATGATCCCGCCAGTGTGCGAACAAGCTGAATATCATCTTTTCCAGAGAGAGAAAGTGGAGGTCCAGCTGCCAGAACTCTACCATAAAATAGGTAATCACCAAAATCAAATCTTCCGAGCATTTTTAGCAACAGGGAATCAGTGGCTGTGAGAACTCAGCATTGCTGAGACAATGGCAGAATCCAGTGCGCTGGTATGGGGTCTCCAGGGCATCGGGGACGGAAGGCCAGCAGGGCTGGAAACGGGCTGGCACAGAAGTGTACTCAGTAGGTGTTCAGAAAATAAAGGAAAAGACCTACTCCGGTTTCCTAGGGTGCCTGCTCAGCCCAGCATGCAGCTGTGTGCTGCCAATGACCGCCTTCCCAAGGAGCCACGCTCACACACACCTATGTGACCATCTCCAGGGTGCCTGGCACTGTGCTCCATACATTTTAAAGCAACAAAGAGGGCAGGCACTCCATGCTCATGTAGGTAGGTAGTCATCCTTTTAGAGAGGGGCAGACATGCACACAATATTTCTAGGGAAGAAACATGGACAATAAAAATACATTAAGACAGGGGCGAAGGAGTAAGTCACAATTTCAGGTTTATGTAGCCAAACAATTTCCAGAAATACCTTTCCTTCCTAAGACATAGAGGTTCAGTCAGAAAATGCTGGGTAAGAAAAGAAAAAGGGTGCAACAGGAGTGATGCCCACTCCTCTCGCTTTGCTATCACTCGGCCAGTGTTCACTGTGGAAGAGGCACGTGTTCCTGCTGGGTGCTGCTCTGGGTGAGGCACTGAGCAGACACACAAAGCACCCAATTTCTGTGCAAAAAAAAAAAAAACAAAAACAAAAACAAAAAAAAACCCTACTTGCCTCACAGCATAAACAGAAATGTGAATTTTGGTATCAAATATCAAAATCTCCTGGGTAAGCCACATTTTCAGTCACGCTTCCATGTGGGGACTTCAAAACATCAGTGGAGATACTGAATTAAAAGAGAAGGCGCAGGGGCCATGAACTTTGTAAAGCCCTCTCCTATGGCTCCCGCCCAAGAACTGACAGTGCCGGCTTACTTAACCCGTAAAAGACCGGGTCACGGTTTGTAAATCCTTGCGTCGTAAGGCAGACATGCATGCTGGCACTAACTCATCTCTCTGGCCGCTTGCCTCCCGAGCTAACCAGACTCTGTCTTAACATTTACACCTCTGATCCCAGTTAACAACAGCAACTTGTTTCTTTCATAGGAGTTGGTGCAATGACATGGTCTCCCCTCGCCTGTGGAATCATCTCGGGAAAGTACGGCAACGGGGTGCCCGAAAGTTCCCGGGCTTCACTGAAGGTATGTCTTAGAAAAGTCCGGGAGTGGGAGGGAGGGAGACAGATGGGAACAGCTCGGCAGTAGCCCGGGGCTTCCCGGCTCGGGCAGGCCATGGCCTCGGCCCGGCAGTGGCTGCTGGCAGGCTCCCCTGCGCCTTCCGGAGGACTCTGCCGCTGGCCAGACATCAGTCAGCCCTTCCTAATCTGCCTACACAGAAAATCC